ACCCCTTTATATTACCATTAGACCATCACCTTTTGATAATTTTATACATTTTTAGGATAATTATAGTAACTTATTTTTTATTATACTCAGTTTTTACCAATTATATTTTGTAAACAAATTGTCTATTTTATTTTGTGTTTTCAAAAATTATATAAAAATTATAAATTTATTGAAAATATTAGCTATTTAATATGATAGTATGTTATTTTTCATATATTATGTTTTTAACACACGATATAATAAACAAATGGCTTATAACTAAAGTTATAAAATGATGTTTTTAACAAATAAATACTTTTATTACCACTTTTTTTAAATGATCATTAATCAGAGTTTGAAAGAAAACAAACTGATTATGGAATCTAATTATATGATTGTTTTAACAAATAAGTATTTTAACACAAAAAAAATAGCTAGATAAAATATAATGTTATGAGTGTGAGTTCACATGGTTTTCATTTATTTATTCAATTAATTATATGCATTTCACGTGGACGTGGTCTTTAAGTTAATTTTTTTTTTTTTTTGTTAAAGTCTTTAAGTTATTCATATTGGATGGTTTAAATTTTATTTTTAATCATCAATTTGTAGTTTTGTACGTTTGTAGTAATTTTTTAATATAAACGAATCTTCTTTGTGAAGTGCATGAATTATTATTTAACAAAAAAAAAAAAGAGCACGAATAGAGCATGAGTTTTTGTTTAATTGCGTTAAATTTTGTAACTCATTTATGGCTCAGCTCCATGTGTTCACCTCGAACATCGGCCAATAAAACAAAAATATATATATTTTTTTTTGGTGAAATAATAAAAAAAAATATTCTTGTCGCTTCCGTTTGATGTTTCGGCCGTATTACTTTTTTTTTGTTTCTGTCGGCAAGATTTTATTAAGCCCATTAAAGGCATTACATGTGAAAAATAGAGCCCAACAACTCTGGACTATTTACAAAGTTTTTAACAAACCCAAATCTATCCTAAAGAAAGATGTTTCTAGAGGAAGCCAGATAGATATGTTGATGGGGCGGAGCACCGTTTGCCAACCTCCGATCCGCCGCGGCAAGCTCCGGTCAAGTCGTGTTCGACCGTATTACTAATGCTTTGCCTTATTTAAATTTC